ATGATCAAATAAATAATTTATCACTTACCGTGATTGCAGATTTCTCGACAGCAACACCGGAAATGAACGATGACACAGTATTTAATCTTAATTGCGTAATCCACACGAAAACGAAAGCATTCCAAACACTCTATATGAAGTTATGCGTAACACAACCAAAAAGTATTACAAATGTTCTAAAAAGTTAATTTTAGCAACGATATCTTTTACCTGTGGCTCGGCGGGCCATAAAGTGTTCATGCGATGCGTGCGTTGTTATACAATTTCAAATTAACTAGAAGTGGACTGTACTAAATATTTTATTCGACAACTTTAATCAAATGCGTGCCATCTTTCAAGCGATGACTTACTACTAACAACAACAACAATAAAAAATAAAACTGAGTAAGCGTTTACAGGGTTGCTGTAATGAACATCTGCGCCATGCAAGGCGCCAAGAAGAGAAAAAATGACGTAATCTTACAGTTAAATAGTCTTAATGACTTAACAAAAACGAAAAAATTTCGAATGACAAGTTAGTCGGTATTCTCGGCACAATTAACGGGACTTGAACAGCGGAACTTTGTAACTGAACAAGAAATTGTGTCTGTTTATAGAATTAAAGAGAAAGTATTATCACATAAAACGAAGCAACTTAATACAACATACATTGAAAGAAATGTTTAATAAAGTAAACAAATAAATATTAAGCCTTTTTTTTTTTTTTTTTTGTAAATTTTGATACCCTTTAGATTATAATTGTTCTTTATTTCATATTTTTAATTTTAGAATTTCTGCATGCCATCTTACGAGATTTAAACTGATGTTCTATAATCCGGAAAAATCGATAATCCGGAATCGCCGAAGTCAAGACGAGTCCGGATTAACGACTTTTAAATGTAATTCACTTCCGATAAAGAAGAAAGTGACCCAGAGGTTATTAAAAATGAAACAACTTACTTTGAAAGAAATGTTTAATAAAATAAACAAATAAATATTAAGCTTTCTTTTTTGTAAATTTTGATACCCTTTAGATCATAATTGTTCTTTATTTCATAAATTATGGTTTCATATTTTTAATTTTATAATTTCTGCATGCCATCTTACCAGATTTAAACTGATGATCTATAATCCGGAAAAATTTATAATCCGGAATCGCCGAAGTCCCGACGAGTCCGGATTAACGACTTTTGACTGTACTTAATAATTGACAATAAACATGGACATATAAGTATAACGTATCTGAAACATTTGCATAGACCATAAGCAGTAGGTAGTTATATAAGTAGTTATATATTAAAGCAATAACACAGTTAATTTAGAACTCAAACAACAAAAATCAGCAGTATGTTTTCAAAGGATTAGTTTCGATGGTTTTACTGAATCATCATCCTCAGCTGCAAAAGTGCAAACATCCACAGTTTTTTTATTTTTTTTAAATGAAAAGTTACTTATGTGGTGCAAGTAGGTGATTTCCACACCTTTATTTCAGAAAGATTCCCAAACTGGATATTTATTATAAAATAGTAAACATTATCAATATATCAAAAGAAAATATACTTGGAAATACAGATTTAAATTTTAAAATAAGGATTACATGATGAATTTTAAAAAAAATTAAATTTTCTTTTTCAAATCTTTCATTTCTTTTTCTTTTCTATTTTCTCCACCCCTAGTACACAGCTATCTACTTTTGCCGAAAATAAATTGGAGAATTGTTCAGAATTGGATTCATGCAGCACATGGCTGTCGAGGAAAAGCATTTACTCATTGTTCCATTTAAAACATTTTCAGCAAAATTCCGTTTTCTTGCAGAAATTTTATCGCAGTATTTTTCATTGCTCGCAGATTCTACAAAATCATATTTTAAGGCAAAAAAATCACAATCTGTTTATAAATACTGTTGAACTTTGGAATACAACAAAAAGAAGACACACAAAATGGCAAATTTAGTTGACTGAAAGATTAGGCTGATCTTTGGAATATGGTAACTGGGTAGTTTGGCGACATTTTGGAGGCGATATAGGTTACTACCTAGGACTTTGGTAATAATGTGAGAAGTACTCAGTTCCGATTACGCATTATCTTGTGCGAGGGCAATGAGAGATCATGAGATATGTCATGTGACATTAATGGACGAATTACGGTTCTTTAATCGGAAAAGGGGGGAAATCTGGAAATTTTGTATTTAGCTTTATTCTGTGTTGTGTGAAACAGTGTTGGTTAATTTTTGGATCCCATGGCCCTAACTAAAGTGAATTCGAAATGGGTATTTAGGCATTGTGATAAAGAGAATTTTGCTTTTTATTTAGCGGAGGAAAAATTTCCAGAAAAAATCTTTCAATAATTTTATTGAATTAATTAGAAAGTGTATCCGCCACGTAATCAAGATTCTGAAGAAGATTAGGTAAGTTAGTATTTTTAATTATTTGAGGATATTATTTTTATGCATTGTTCTAATGTAAGGAGTAAATAAAGTAATATGGTATTATTGGAAAATTGTTATTAGCAATGATTTAGTTTAAAGTCATTAGGATTGTAAGCTAATTTTTATTAATTTAATGTATGTGCTTATTTATATTTTAAGTAGTGTTTTTGAATTTAATTATATTTTATTTAAATGATAGTTATTTTGTGAAGATAATAGTTAAGAGTGTATGCAATGCCATTTTTGTGCAATTCTGGGATGTTTTTTTAAGTAAAAATAAGTCGACGTGTAAATAGTTTATGTGTATGTGCTATTCTGAAAAACGTGCAAGGAGTTTGCGATTGTGCACTTTTTCCCAATTTTGCAGTTAATATTTGTCATGATTAAGCAGTTTTGTTACATAAAATTTCTAGCATAAGTGTAATTTGGCTAGTAGATTGTTGGAAAAAGTGTTCAGTAAATAAAAAGAAACATATCTTTACTTCGTGAAGACAAAATGGTGGCGGAAAAAAAAAAATAGAGGGTTGCTGTAGCAGAGTTGGTCACCAAATTTTCGCCAAAAAATAGCCAAGTTACCATAATCCAAAGATCACCCAAAGATTATTATACACATGGCTACTGGAAGAATGGTTATGCACATTGTTGCACATGAGTTTGGCATATACTGAAAATATGGCAACTTCTATTTAGGTGGCTTCATTAATATGCAAGTACCACAAAAAAAAAAGTTTATTTTTACAAGAAATTTTGATTTCATTCAAGGACACTACAACACTACACATACCGGCTGCATTAAAGCATAAAAAACAGAGCCCAAAATTAATGTTCTAAACATACGATATTGAACACATAAACTCGCAAAAATCAAAATTCTAAGCATTCTCAACATTACAAATGGAGTTCCAAATGCCAATAAGAAAGCTAGAACTGGCAGTTTTCAGATAACCGGCCCTTGGCGATTTGTTGACATCTCGGAAGAGTGCATGTGCGCCAGATTATGGTAACCCTGACAAGAGTTACAAACCTGCAACCAACTCAGGGAATTTTCCTGAAGGACGAAAAGGGATTTTTTCTGCTTACATAGATTTAGGAAACGTTACGGCAAGACAAAATAGAAGTTAGAAAATCGCAAATCATAATTAGTTCATATTTTCACAAATCGTTATCGGGTGTTAATCATAATTAGTTCATATTTTCGCGAATCGTTATTAACACCCGATGACGCTCTATTCCCGATAATGATAAAAATAAAGCTCTATTCTGTTTACAGAACGTTAAGGGTAAGACAAAATGAAAGTTGGAAAATCGCAAATCCTAATTAGTTCATGTTTTCACAAATCGTTATCGGGAGTTCATTTCAATTGGAAAAAATAAAGCTCTATTCTATTCATTTCTACCTTTTGTAAAATAAGGTAGTTGCATGACCCCTCCCCCCCAAAAAAAATCGCAAATAATAATTACCGTAATTTCTGGAAGAAAGGCCGCATCAGCGTAAACGCCGCACTCGAGAAAAATGGCGGAAAAAAAATTAAAATTACACAGAAACGGCGCAATAGATTAAATTGCACGTGACATCATCGTGGGCCATATAGATGCAAAAACTCAACATAAGTCCTGATATATGACATACCAGTTAAAAAAAATGCATGAAATGAAACCATAACTCAAAAATAAATTAAAGGTAAGAAATGTATAGCTTCTGTGCCGTTTAGAGACATTTTCAAAAATTTTCCGCTCCCTTCTTACTTAAAAACTATCCAACAAGTACTTGTACCCAAACTGATGGGATCTGTATTTGGCAGAATGCCAAGAAAAATCCATTCATGCTGAAGGGGAAATACGTCAGTTTCGTTATTGCGAGGCAAGTGGAGTCGTGTCCGCCTTTGAAAAAAATTGCAGAAAAGGCAGGGGTGGAGAGAGGATGGGTCCTGGAAGATTCATCGAATGGCAGAGGAGAGAGACTATTCAAACTGATGAGAATGTTGATTTGAAAGGGGGAAGAATGTTATTGTTCTGAGATCTTGTTTAGGGTGAATAAGGCATGTAGGTCCGTTCAAGGGAAAGAATGTAAACAAAATAACGTTCGCAAAAAGCAACTGTGTGGTCTTTTGTGTGAGAACAGCACCAGTCTATGTACAATCACAAGGCCATCCAAACTATGTACAATGACCCTCATAGGAAATATTTTATTTTTAGTACACCTAAACACCGCATGCATAGAAATGCCGCACCCGCTGAAAATTTAAGTTTTAAACACGAAAACGGCACAGCGTTTCTTCCGGAAATTACGGTACTTTATATTTTCGTAAATCGTTATTGGGAGTTAATTGCAATTGAAAAAATAAATCTCTATTATATTTATTTCTACCTTTTGTAAAATAAAATAGCTACCTCAGATGCTAAATTTATGTAGGGAACTTACTACTTAATCCGGAAATTACGGTACTTTATATTTTCGTAAATCGTTATTGGGAGTTAATTGCAATTGAAAAAATAAATCTCTATTATATTTATTTCTACCTTTTGTAAAATAAAATAGCTACCTCAGATGCTAAATTTATGTAGGGAACTTACTACTTAAATCCTACATTACTAAAGATATCACAAAACAATATATTTAAAATTTCATACTTTTTACAAAAATGCAGTGAAAAGTGGATTAGAGTGCAAAATATAAATGAAATTTCTATTTAAATGAAAATGTTCACTGTTTCAAACATTTCATGACAGTACCTGAAACATAGAAATGTCATATCAATAAATTTCCTGGTTCAGAACAGTATAATCAATCTCTAACTTTTCACTGTTCGAATAAGCTGTTTTAAACCTTTCATAACTAACTAAATAACAAAAATAATAAAAGACTTTTTTAAATCAGGAATACTTTAAAATGACTCTCGTGAAAATGAGGTTTTCCTCTTGTGGAAAAAGTAAATGATTTATTAAGAATTGTGATAAAAAACAAGTTAAACACACCTCATCAAAGACTTATAGCATGGAGAAATCATTAGTGCACAGATAAGTAAGGTTTCTTATTAACACACACATGTGCACAGAGAATTACTTTCGTATTCCGTAGGCATGCATCTTTCAATTCTTTTATCATCCAAGTGATATGTTACATACGAAACTCACAGAGTTTTTCTCCAGTATGAATAAGTATATGATTTTCCAAATTCCGTTTGAGACTAAATGACTTATTACATATCTCACAAACATGAGGTTTCCCTCCTATGTGAATAAATACATGTTTGTTTAGACTAACTTTTTGAGCAAATGATTTATTACATATCTCACACACATAAGGTCTCTCTCCGGTGTGATTAAGCCTATGTATGTTTAAACTATGTTTCTCAGTAAATGATCTATTACATATCTCACATACATAAGGCCTCTCTCCCGTGTGATTAAGCATATGTCTGTTTAAACTATGTTTTTGAGCAAATGACTTATTGCATATCTCGCACATATGAGGTCTCTTTCCTGTGTGATTAAGCATATGTCTGTTTAAATTAGCTTTTTGAGTGAATGACTTGTTACATACCTCACACATAAAAGGTTTCTTTCCAGAGTGAATAAGTATATGGTCATTTAAATGAGCTTTTTGAGTAAAGGACTTATTACATTGCTCACATGCATAAGGTTTCTTTCCTGTGTGAATAAGAATATGGTTGTTCAAACATGACTTTTCAACAAATGACTTATTACATACTTCACACACATGAGGTTTCTCTCCTGTGTGAATAAGCATATGGGTTTTTAAAGAACTACTTCGAACAAACGACTTGTAACATACCTCACACACATGAGGTTTCTCTCCTGTGTGAATAAGCATGTGGGTTTTTAAATAACTAGTTCCAACAAATGACTTTTTACATACTTCACAGACATGTGATTTCTCTCCTGTGTGAATAAGCATATGGGCTTTTAAATAACTAGTTACTACAAACGACTTGTTACATACTTCACACAGAGGCTTCTTTTCTGTGTGAATAAGCATATGGCTTTTTAAATAACTCTTACGGGAAAATGACTTATTACATACCTCACAAACATGAGCTTTCTCTCCTGTGTGAATAAACATATGGGTTTTTAAACGACTTTTTTCAATAAATGACTTATTACATATCTCGCACACATGAGGTCTCTCTCCTGTGTGAATATGCTTATGCTTGTTTAAAAAACTAGCTTGAACAAATGACTTGTTACATACCTCACAGACATGAGGTTTCTTTCCTGTGTGAATAAGCATTTGTTTATTTAAATAACCTTCTTGAGTACATGACTTGTTACATAGCTCACACAGATGACATTTTTTCCTGTGTAAATATGTTCATTAAAGTGCCTCTTGAGTAAATGACTTTTACATATTTCACATACGTGAAGTTTCTTTCCTGCGTGAATAAGCAAATGCACGTTTAAAATGCTCTTTCATCCAAATGAACTCTTACATACCTTACACATGAGTTTTTCCTGCTGTATGTACATGCAGATGTTTGTTGAAAGAACCACACCATCTACATATCCCATGCACAAGGTTTCTTTCGGGAGTCAATACATATATGATTGTTTAAACCCTTTAGTCTAAATGACTTGTTACACACAGATTACATGAGCTTTCTCTTTTGTGTAAATAAGCATGTGGACTTTGAAACTAGAGTTACCAGCAAATGATTTATTACATACTTCACACCATGGTTATATCACACGGTGCATTTAAAAGTAAAGGTGGGTTTAATTCACCCTTTTGTTTTAAATGACTTTTACCTACCTCACTTTCTGTTGAGTAGGTACGAACTGTTTTAAGGAGTTTCTTTCTACACGATATTTTCCAATATACGTTGTACTGAAATATATTGGAAAAACTGAGAGGGTCACTTTGGAATCAAGAACTTATCACTTATTCATGTCATTCTGAGAAATGTTACAATTTCAGGATGAAACCTGGAATGCTCAGAGCTAAGCAAAGCAATTGGTGCATGCATATGTTATATGAAATGCTAATACATATTACACAGAAGACAGATCTAGAACCTCATACTAAAAGCATGGTTTTCAGGTATACATTTCATGAGAAATAAGTTTGTTGTATTTCGGACTCTCATGATTTGTCACCCTAGCACTCATGTAGTTTAGTTTGTCCATTCATTGCTTCAAATTAAATATGAAAGAGATTAAACAATTTTATAACTACAGCAATGTTTCGAGGAAATATTTACGACGTACAGGAGAACAAACAGGAGCCGTTGCGATTTTTTCTATGTTGTAGAATGATCAACCACTTATTTCATCGCCAAGTTATTTACCATGAGCTTTTAGGCTCAAGCCCATTTCACGCTTTTGTCTCAACGAATTTTTTCCAAACCTCACACATAAAAAACGCCATGATCTTTCTCCTCTGATAAGAACCGAATGTAACGAAGTAAAAAATGGTTCCCGTTTTTAAACCAAGGAGAATATCTATTATCTATTCTAACCTCCTTGTTTCACAAAATGTCAGCCAAGAGTTTGATGTTCCCCAAATCTACTGCTGCCAAAATCTAAATATGAAATATACATTTTTTTTTTTTTCTTTTTTTTTTTTTTTTTTTTTTTTTTTTTTTTTTACATACGATTTTCTGGGTTTACACTAGCTACATAAAAATCGAGTGTAACAGAATTACCCGCAAATCAGAACCCGGAAACGTGCCTTTAATATCTTTGTTGGCATTAACAGCTTGGCGAAACATTTGGCTTTATTTTTAGGTTGGCGCCAAGGAGCTCCTTGTTCTCGCCATGCCAGCTACTTCGCGCATGCGCAAAGAATTATTCACCGAGGCCAAAGAAGAATATTGCCTAAGCGAAACTAGTCGACTTTTCTGTGACGTCGAATGGCCTCGTTCGAAAAGGGAAGGTAGTTCTGAAATATGCGTCCGCCGACCGTAAAATATATTATTCCCCTGATTGAGCTTAATTTTTGACAACAGCGCAGATTGGTTTGTTAACCGCGTAAGCAGTTAAAGCAAAGAATATGTATTCACTTTCTTTGGTTAAGGCGAAGTTGTCATCTCACCTGTTAACTTTTGAGAACGCAAAGCATTTTTCACTTCATTGCATACAGTTCTTATCAGAGCAAAAAAATCATGGCGCTTTTTGAATGTAAGGTTTGCAGAAAGTCATTTAGACAAATGCGTGAACAATCCACCGCTTGAAATGGGTGTGAAGTGAAAAGCTGATGGCAAATAACTTGGCGAATAACTTATACGACAACAAAAATCATAACGGCTTCTATTCTTACTCTTGTACGCCATGAATATTTCCTGACAACGTTTTTTGTAGTTTTAAAATCGTTTAATCTCTTTTCTACGTAATTTGAAGCGATGAATGGAAGTGCTAGGGTGAGAAATCATGTTAATGGCAAATATAACAAACCTATGTTTCATGAAGTGTGTGCGTATGTTGTGGTTTTAAACTCCTTATGCTTATTCACACAAGAGAAAAACCTTATGTATGCCGTGTGTACCAATTCATTTTGACTAAAGGTGTAGACATTTAAATGATCATATAAGTATTGACAGGAAAAAAACTTCCTGTGTGAGGTATGTAGCAAGTCATTTAGTCAATACGGTTCTTTAGAACAAACATCTCAGCAGAAAAAACTCCCGTGTAAGGTACCTAAGAATTCATTTGGAAGAAAGAGCATTTTAAACATACACATGTCTACTCACGCAGGAAAGGAATTTGGTGTCTGTGTAGTATGTAACAAGACATTTACTCAAAAACGTAATTTAAACAACCATATACTTATTCACACAGGAGAGAAACCTCATGTTTGTGCGATATGTAATAAGTCATTTACTCAGAAAGCTCATTTAAATAGACATGTACTTATTCATACAGGAAAGAAACCTCATCTGTGTAAGGTGTGCAACAAGTCATTTACTGAAAATACTCAATTAAATGAACATATACTTATTCACACAGGAGAGAAACCTCATGTGTGTGAAGTATGTAATAAGTCATTTAGACGGAAAAGTGATTTAAAAAGCCATATGCTTGTTCACACAACCACGCGCTTATTTACACATGTTTGTGGGATATGTAATAAGTCATTTGCTCAAAAAGCTTATTTAAACAGACATATACTTCCTCATACAGGAATAAAGCATCATGTGTGTGAGGTATGCAACAAGGCATTTTGTCAGAAAGTACAATTAAATGAACATATGCTTATTCACACAGGAGAGAAACCTCATGTGTGTGAGGTATGTAACAAGTCATTTAGGCAAAAGAGTAATTTAAAAAGCCATATGCTTATTCACACAGGAGAGGAACCTTATGTATGTGAGGTATGTAACAAGTCATTTGTTCGAAAGCATTGTTTAAACGGCCATATACTTTCTCACACAGGAGAGAAACCTCATGTGTGTGAGATATGTAATAAGTCATTTAGGTGGAAGGATAATTTAAAATGCCATATGTTTATTCACACAGGAAAGAAACCTTATGTGTGCGAGGTATGTAGCAAGTCATTTGTTCAAAAGCAGCGTTTAAATTACCATATGCTAATTCACAGTGGAGAGAAACCTCATGTGTGTGAGTTTTGTAATAAGTCATTTGCTTACAAATATACTTTAAACAACCATATACTTATTCACACTGGAAAGAAACCTTATGTTTGTGAGGTATGTAATAAGTCATTTACTCAAAAAGGTCATTTAAGCAAACATATACTTATTCATACAGGAAAGAAAGATCATGTGTGTGAGATATGTAATAAGTCATTTAGGCAGAAGGATTATTTAAAAGGCCATATGTTTATTCATACAGGAGAGAAACCTCATGTGTGTAAGGTATGCAACAAGTCATTTGTTCGAAAGAGTCGTTTAAATGGCCATATGCTAAATCACACATGAGAGAAACCTCATGTGTGGAAGATAGGTAATAAGTTATTTACTCAAAAATCTAATTTAAAAAAGCATATACTTTTTGGCACTCCATGTGATTAGTTGGATGATAAAAAAATTGGAAGACTCATGTGTACTGATAATAGAAGGCTAGTGTCTTTAATGGAAAAGTTTGTTTTATAAGAACCTTTACTTACCTGTGCAATAATGATTTGTCCATGCTATGAAGCAATGTCTGTGTATGAGGCAGTTTAACTTGTCATTTCATCTCGATTCTTAATAAATCATTTATTTGTTTCAACAAGAGAAAAACTATATGTTTGCGAGATAAGTCAGAAGTCATTTTAAAGTATTCTTGATTTAAAGCAACATTTCTTATGCTTAGTATTTAATTAGTACTGAAAGTTTAAAACAGCAGGTTTTGAACAATGAAAAATTGGACACTGATTATACTGTTTTAAATCGGGAAATTTTTAATGTGATATGAATTGTTAGAAAGGTTGGAAATATTGAACATAAAATATGAATGAAAATTTCGTTCACATTTTACATTGTAATCCAGTTTTCATTGCATTTTTGTAAAATGTACATAATGTGAAATATATCCTTTTGTGGTTTTTTTAGTATTGTAGGACCTAAATATTTCTTTCTCATTAGCCTTTGGAACTCTCCTTTTTAATGCTGAGAATACTTAGAATTTAGATTTTTGAAAGCTTATGTGTTGAGTATCATCTGTCTAAAATATTTTGAGCTATTTTCTTGATGCCACTGTGCAGCTTGTAGTGTCTTTGAAAGAAAGTGAAATTTCTTGAGGAAGTAAGCTTTTTTCTAGTAATTACGTGTTAATGCAGCCACCTTAATACAAATTGCCATATTTTCAATATTTGCCAAACTCTGGCAACCATGCACATAACCCTTCTTCTAGCAACTATGCTTATAATAATCTTTTAATAAAGCAACTCTACCATTTTGTGTTTTTTTTTTTTTTTTTTTTTTTTTTTTTCAGTTGAAGTCTAACAGTTTTTTTTTAAACAAATGGGGATATTTTTTGCTACAAGTTAGTTTTAAAGTATGGCCTTTCAGGATTTATAAGCAATGGAATATAAAACTGTAAACACAGAATTATACTGAAAATTTTCTAAATGGAACAATATGGGTATTTCTTTCCTCGATAGCTGAGTTCTGAATGAACTCAATTCTGAGTAATTCTCCCCTTTTTCTTTTAGGCAAAAGCAGATCACTGTCTACTTGAAGAATAGAAAAACACAAAATAATAACAAAGTTTTGAAAAAGAATTAGTTGTATTTTTTTAACGCAATACTTAATCCTTATTTAATAATTCAAATGTGGGTAAAAATTTACTGTAATGCACCTCTTTGGTGAATCAGTGCCAGGAAGGATCAACACCAATTTCAAGATGGTCACTACACAAAATAAAAATAAGAAGTCAAAGACAAACTAGGTGTCCATGTAACACATCAACTTCTTTTAACTTAAAAAAAGTATAATAATAAGATAATTCCACATACTATTCATGGCGTGCTGCCTTAACTTTGTTCATGTACACATCGATCAATTTTTACTTAAAAAAAATCAGGATGCTAAAACAAAGTTAAAACTATCATGGTAACCAGAAAAAAAATTTGCCACTGTTTTAACACAAAGAGAGGAACAAATAACCAAAAATACACAAACAGTTAGTTGGATTAGTTGGATGATAAAAATTGGAAGAATCATGTGTACTGATAATAGAAATAAATAACCAAAAATACATATTTCCTAACGTAAAAACATTAACAACAAATCTTTTAACAAAAATTAACACAGAGACGAATGCGTAAATGAAATGTCAATTTTTTAACATACATTTTTTTTAATTGTGCATACATTAAGCTTGCATATACATGCACATTTTTGTGGCCTACGAAAACAAATTATTTTAGGGGTTGGAAACCGCATTGTTCTGCGTGCTTACAGCTGTTAATAATTAAGAACATAACGTGAACAGCTGTGTTACAAATTAGCATTCACCCCTCCCGCCATGTTTTCTTCCTTTCATCCCGAACCGAGAACCGGCATCTATCTACAAAAACTTTAATTATACTTTAATATTTCTATCTATTAGTTGTTAAAAATTCAGAAAAAATAACGTGGAAAATTAGAAAAAATAATAATAAATAAGAGAAGAATCATATAAATCTGCAAATACGAACAATGACAGTGATAATTCAACAAAATGAACGCAAGAGGAACGGATGCAACCTTCGAACAAGCGAATAGGATGAATCCGCTGGGTTACCAGGTTTTGAACTATTATTGCCAAAGTTGGCGATGTTTACATTTACTGCGTTCTCTGAGAAAGTGCTTCCATTAAACCAGCTTTCGTGCAAAATTCAAACGTCTCAAAATCAAACGTCGTTCATCAGTTAATCCATACAAAAGCCTCAAATTCACAATTTCATCATAATCCTACCCCTCAACATTCATCCTCTTAGTCACCTCAGGCATACTCAAATGTTGATACCCATAGCAAAATAATAGTAAGTTCAAAGTACAAGACCGTACTATGCACGTGTAACCGAACACAGGAATTGAAAAAAATGGTAAGAACCAAAAAACCCAGATCAATACAGAGGGGTCACTAGGTTAGAGTAGATTGATAGGTGCCCCTTGGATTACTGCCAAGTTGTTGTTTCATTTATGGTAACCTGAGTAGTTGAATGCTCTAGAAATCCTATTATGACATAATTGGTTGCCTGATTGCAGTGAATTTGAATGATGGGATGGATTTTTAATAAGAAGTACATTGTTATTTTGTGGTTTATATGGTAAAATGGCTGAAGGTTGTAAGATTAATTTGAAGTTTCTGTACGATTTGGAATGAAACAGAAAAAAGTTTTAATTGACTGGTGTGTTAAAGAAGGTTTACTTAGTTGCTATTATAAGTGTCCTGTTTATAGGAAGGAAATACGTACGGTCGAATGTCGGAGGATACCTGCACTATGGAGGATATTTTTTACTCTTATTTTTGTGAATTTTTGTGGTGACACCAGTATATAGATTCTAGTTCAGATAATTTTAGGATACTGTTAAGGAATTTTATTTGACTGAAGACAGGAAAATTTGTAAATAAGGTAACTGGACATTTCCTTTGTGTATTGCTCAGATGAATTTCCTATTTTATGGTATTTCATTGTTTAATTTAAGATGTAGTTTATTGAGATTATATATTTTTTGTTGGCTGCTCTTTTGACTTTTTAAGTGAATATAGATTGATGTGTACATGAACAAAGTCAAAGGAATGCGATATACCTCTGATTTTTTTAAGTGAAATTAAGTCAAAGTGTACATGGATACCAAGTTTGTGCAAGTCTTTGACTTGTTATTTTGGATTTCTGTAGCAAGAATTTTTGGTGCAAAAATTGGTGCTACACAAAGCCAACATAGCAATTCAAAAAATTGCACAAACTCAGTGTCCATGTACTGCCAAACATCGGCAATTATTGCCAAGGAGAACCCGTAAATATATTTTTATTAGTTTGTTATTACAAAAAATAGCCAAAATCTAAATTTATCATAACATGTTTGGCGATATTCACAGAAATAATCCCTTTTTAATGAGAAAAACTAAAAAGTTTTCAAGGGTAGTTTCACCAACATTAGGGTTACCGAAAAACCTATTTCACGCAGTGGGCTTCCAGATTTTACAAACAACCAATACCACACGGTGATTTTTTCATACAAAAACCAAGGGGGTATCGTACAGTAAAGATTAGCCCAAATTCATATTTTCAAGTATGTTTTCTTTTCATGTATTGATAATGTTGACCAACTTAAAATAAACATTGCTAGCTTGACAATCTTTTTAAAATAAATGCACAAAAAATCACCATTTTGTACCTGATAAGGGACTTTTAATTTTTCATCTGCAAATAATCCAAGAATTGTTCTAAGATCATTGTGTTATATATAACTACCTCTTTTCTTGCTCACGAGCCCATGCAAATGTTGCAGATACATTGATACCATGTTCATTGTCTATTCTTAAGTGTTCAATTTTGACATCTGGTTCTTGTGGAATCTGTTACTTTCATGTTACCTCCTTCAAATTCTTCTTGTTATGGTTAACTATTTCATCATAATGTGCATGCAGTAGCTTTTAAGTAGTCAGTATTGCACTATTAAACTTCGCTGTTCTTATGTTAACACAAAATTTAATTATAGTTCTGTGATTAGACATGAAAGTATGTTTGTCAACTTCAATAAGCTTTCAATCCATTTTTGCATATATCCATGCTGTAGAAAATTTCCATGTGCATAAATATATAAAATGGCATTTGGACAATATCTTTTCCATAAATGTAAGAAACAGTTATTTACTAAATGTGTCTTTAGGATTTTTTTTTTTTTAATTATTTTTTTTTTTTTTTAGTTTTCACTTCTTTTTAAAAGTGTCAGAAGAAAATATAATTAAAAATTTTCAAGGACTGACTTTCTATATGCATTAACACTTATGTACCAAACTAGAATCTCATATTTATCGTATAATTCTTGCTTTGTTTGGAAGTGTTTAAGATCAACATTAAGCAAAATGGGAGTCTAAATTTATTTTTAAATTCACTGAGAGAGCATGGTGAAGTATTTCTTTATGCAACTTTAGAATAGGAAAGAATCTTCAGAATTTCATACTTAATTGTCCCTTTTGTTGTTTTTAACTTGAGAGACTCTGTGTTAAAATTATATTCAATTCATCTGTGCAAACCAAAACTCCTAACAGAAATAAAAACTCTGATTTGGCAAAATTATATTCTTAATAGAATATTAACTTTGCCAGTTCATTTTATTTCATGGAATTGATTGAAGTAACATTGCATCTGTTGTACTTTGCTTGTATAATAAATCTTTTTTTTTAATTATTCCTGTAAATATTTGTCATTATTTACACCTTTAGGAGCTAAAATAAATGTATTGAATTTAAGAAGATGTTTAATTATAAGTATTCTAACATTTCTATTCCTTTTGTTTGGCGCATCATAATCATCTTTGGTTTTTTTGCCAAAAAACTTACTCACTAACATTTCTATTATGAAAGTTTGAAATTCGATATTTCAAATAACTTTCATATATTTGGGAAGATTACTTTGATCTAAACAAATATTAACTAATATGTCTGTAAAAAAGTAGGTTATCGAATGAGTTTTGTGAGTATCACTTGATTAAAGTAACCACATTTTTATTGAGACGAAGTGGGACAAATGGAATGAAATGAAAATTGTAATTTAGTTATGAAAGCAGACCAATAATTCAAAAAAATAATATATTTTATTGTATGCATTCATATACTTGTCTATAAATATACAAAAATATATTTATTATTAACTATTGGTAACTACAAAAAAAATTGTAAAAGAATATAATTTGAATATTATGCTTTTTAATTAATTTAAAAGCTTATTTAAAAAAATTATGCTTTTCTTTCACAGTCATTATTTTTATCCAAGTGAATACTTTGCAATAGATTCGGATCATTTATTAAAATGTGGTGAAATTTCTCACATGAATTGATCAACTTATATTTTACCCTTAATACCGATTTTAAAGTTTTAATTTTTAACTGTGTTTTTTTCAATTGTCCATATTTTATTGATACTAGAAAAAACACGTCTTGTTGCTGTATTTGTTCCTGGAAGGGTAAGTGCGTGTTCTACAATTTTCAAAATATTTTCATAAGAAATATTATTCTGTTTAAAATAAAGGAATAACTCTGTCCATTTTTTTGTCTGTTTCCACATTTGCAGACAGCCAACATTTAATTTTTTCATCAGTAACATATCTTTTTACCAATGACACCTTATCAAAAAGATCATATTCGCAAATATTATTTTTCGGAAAATGATTACTAATATATTAAAAAGACACAATAACATGCTGAACAAATACTAATTCACAAGCCAAAACAACAAAATTTGAAAATATAGCACTGATTTTTGTTGTTTGACTTCTGAATTAGTATATTAAAGAGATTTTTTCACATATTCCCTAAAATATCCTTTTTTAATGCCATCCAATTCTTTTATGTTTGATTTCTGCACTTTCACATAAATCCTTCAAACTTTCAACACACACACTATATATACAGTCAAAAGTCGTTAATTCGGACACCCATAATCCGGAATAATCAATAATCCGGACCTCAAAGCTACAAACTTTCTGCGCACGCATGCGCGTAAGACCTCTACGGCTGTGCATGTGCATAATACGTTTATGCATGCGCGTTTTAATGTATAACAGACTGTATAAGCTAAAATTATCTATTTCAGTTAATGTTGCAGATTGCGTTGTTCCTTAATCTTCAAATTGGATCCGGCTTATTATTTTTTGCAGACTGTTAGAGGAATTTTATAAAAGTAAGCTTGAACTTTCGATTATGTCAAAAAGAATTTGCGATTCTGGAGCTACCAAAGGATCTACAAAGCGAAAAGCATGTTTCGATGTCCATCAAGCAAAAAGTGGAATTGCTGCAAAAAATGGATAAAGGCATATCCGTTGATTCTCTAACCATTCCGAAATATGTTTATCAATTTCACGCCGCGGCGCGCAATGAATTGAAGTTCGTCTGTCAGCACTATCTTTATCTTCAGGGCAGATGTTTTTATTTTATTCGGCTTATAATGAAAAAAATGTTTAATAAAGTAAAATAAATATTAAGCTTTTTTTTCGTAAATTTTGATACCCTTTAGATCATAATTGCTCTTTATTTCATAAATTACGGTTTCATATTTTTAATTTTATAATTTCTGCATGCCATCTTACCAGATTTAAACTGATGATCTATAATCAGGAAAAACCGATAATTCGGAATCGCCGAAGTCTCTACGAGTCCGGATTAAAGACTTTTGACTGTAGTTCCAATTCCAGAAAGCTTTGGAAACGAATGTAAATGTTTTATTTTTTAATGTATCTGGTTAGCCTTATTTAATAATTAAAATTTGTATTTGCATTTGCTCAAGTATATTTCATTGTCAGGTGTTATTTGCCAACTTACAAGAAATACTTTTTATTTAAAAATCTTTCTAGAAAAAAA